TCGAAGACTTTGGTCTTTAGTCTGCTTTAGGTTCCACAAGCTAGAGGCTGTCACTTCGCGCTTAGTGAACATGATGTAGGTCTTTAGGAAAGCCGACGAAAGCTCTCTGAAGCTGCTGATGGAGTTCTCTTTAAGACCTGAGAACCAGGTCAAGGCTTGGTCGTGGAGTGTTTCCACGAACAGCTGACAGTACGCGGCGTCTCTTTCGTCGTCGGGTAGCCGCGCTCGGGCCATCGCTATGTTGAAGGCTGTCATATGCTCCACACGGTCACCGCCGGGTTTGTACTGCGGGATGCGTAACTTCTCAATCTTGCGGAAGTTTACGCTAGTCAACGTACTGGTGAATGGAGTACGCTCGGTTGAAGCGAGAACACTCTCGATCTGCGGAGCGGCGCTAGTAACCTTGTGAATCGTGGAGCTCATCTGTTGGAGGTTCAGTTTGAGCTCGGCGATTTCACGGACAGTCGTCAGATCTGGGCCGACTTGAGCTGCTTCTGCAGCGTGCGGCTCGGTGGGTTCCGACTCTTCGGAGGTATGGTCGGCTACCGGTGCTGTCGGGTTGGTGTTGAAGAGATGACGTCGGAACGGTTGAGAGTTACTCGTCTGCCCGGCGGGAGCTGCTGTTAACGCTGCTACGAGTGCGGCGAGTTGAGCTTGAGTCTCCTTTTGGATTTCGTCTTGTCTGGCGAAACGCGCCATGACGGAGCTCATGAAGTCGGGCGGAAGGGGTGTTTCGGGTACGGGAGTCTGAGTCGGCTCCTCGCCGGCGATTCCGGAGACGGTTTCGTCGTCAGGCATGTCTAGATCTGATAACGTTGCTTTGTGCAGAGCCCCACGGTGGGCGCCAAATTGTTTGAGGTGGAAATGGTTCGAACAATGTAAAGAGAGAGACGAGGGCGAACAAAGACGTTTTATTAGATCTGAACAAGGAGTTACAAAGAGAAGAGTAAAGAGGCGGACTAGCCGGAAATACAAGGTGGTGAGTAAATGGGAAGGTGACTAAACAAGAAGGTGGGTAAACGAGAAGGTGACTAAACGGGAGGTGAGTAAACCCTAGATCTAAGCACCTAGTCGCTAAGAAACCCTAGATCTAGCCGCCAAGTGAGTATGTCAAATTCCGGATCCCTTTTCCCTTTGCTGTCTCTCTCCTTTTATAGACTCTGTCTTCGTGTTCGCCCTAGTTTACGTGAACCTTGTTGGGCTTGATTCTTATTAGGCCCGTTTAGTAGTCCGGGTAAGTCGTACTTTAGCCGACTCTCTCAGCCGCGCTACTAAACGCGTCTCATGCTAAGTCGTTTTGATTCTACCTGGTGGGCCAAGTACATTATCGTGTTGGGCTGAGTTTCTCCATTTGATGGGCCTTGCGGAGGGGTATAACCCATCTCCTACAATGTTTGAACTTTTATCTTTGAAGGTGTATTTATTTATAATGGCTTCTTTAAAATGTCTAAATGCTTCTACTGCTATGAGATTTCATTTTAATTTTTTTAATAAAATAAATATACTACAAAAACAATTTTGTATATGTTTTAGCATCATGAGATCATGTATATAAGTTTTTCTTTTTCTTTAACATCAAGATCATTTATATAAAGTTATTTAACATTAGACAAACAAAATCGTATGGTCTTTATATGTTTCACCTAATCTATTATATTAAAAGAGAAGTCACAACCTCATTTCATGTGTGATATTTTTTAAAATGGACCATCTACTAGAAAATTGCAATATTTAATGGTTCTATCATCTTTCATATATTCTATCTATCTATTATCTATTATATTAAAAGAGAAGTCACAACTTCTCTTCATGTATGATTTTTTAAAAATGGACCCTTCCTTAGAAAAGTTGTTACCTTATCTTTTGTATTTATATAATAAAATCTTAACAACCAAATTTAATTTTCATTTTCATTCTCTTAACATCTTAAAATTAATAATACATTTATATAAACATTTAAATATATGTTCAACCTTGAAAATATATATCACTAATGTCATAAAATAAATAACATATATAACATATGTATATTAAACTGAAAATAACACCCGCGCGGTTGTGCGGGTAAAGATCTAGTAATATTTTAATCTAGCATTACAATCTGCATTTTTAATAGTACATATTTCACGTGTTAGATATTGATCGTTTAATTTTTTTTTTAAGTAAAAAATTATTTACTGAAAATCACCACAACCAACCCTGGACACGGGACTGAACGACTTCTCGGGTCACCGGTTCATTGGATTAACCGCGGATAAAACACAAATTAATAACTTAATTAGTTTTATTACATAATAATATATTAACTAAGAAAATAAAAATATAGAAACCAAAATTAAGTATGGTTCCTAATTGTTTTAAAACATAAAATAATAGTTTGAAAATGTATATATTTTAAGGTTTAAAAAGAATTTACAAAATACTTAATTTCAGTTCATATATTTTTATTTTTCACTTAGATATATACGAAACATCAAAAATAGTTTGAATTATTTATTTTTGTAAATAATTAAGAATTTAAAAGTTATGAAGTCTAAGAAAAACAAATATCAGACCTAAAATTCATAAATATTTTAATGTCTAAAAGACCAATTACAAATTATATATGATAAAAATAAGAAAATTAAATTAAAAAATAATTAAAAGCTAAAAAAAGTTATTTATTGGTTCAACCAGTGTTTCAATCGGTAACCGAATTTGGGATTTTAGTAGATTTTCAGGTTTTATTGAAGTTTTAAATATTGGTTTCCAAAATCCAAACGGAATTTATTTTAGGTCACCGGGTCTACCGGTTCAAACGCGAGTTATTGGATTTCAAAATATTACCCATATCTAATTTAAATTGTGAATATTTTTTATTTACAGAAAATTATACCGAAAATACAAAACCAATAATATACTCGCGCTTTATAGCGCGGGTCAAGATCTAGTATATTCTATTAAATTAGGAACATGACCTATTAATATATGTTTAGTCCAAAAATTTTAAATAATTTAACTGATCCTATTTTAAATAATCTATCTGCCTCTATTTAACATATATTCATCTATTACGAGACTTTGGTATTCTATAACCTCCCATGTACTACCTAAAATATTGGGATCCATTATTTTCAGTTTAAGTGGATAAATTCAGTATACATTATATATTATTGGCATAATAAAGAATATGATAATTAACTGTTCAACTACAATATTTTTTTATTTTGTATCGAACTCATCAACTATAAACTAAAGAAGGATAAAAACATTAAACTAAAGTTATAACTTGTTTGACTACAATATATTTAACAAAGACATCTATATATGAAATTTAAAAAATGAACACAGATAAAGTGGATATATATGTTAACATATTACTTTTATTTTCCCTTAAGTGTGCATAACTATGTAAGTTTTTTTATGTCAACAATTATAACTGTTTTTTTGTCATAAAAGTACTCATACGCTGAACTTAAAATAGAAAAATAACTAATAAGAAACTATAATATTCTGTAAATTTAACTGTTATAATTAGATAACTAATAAGAACTATAATATGCTGTAAATTTTAGGAATGAAATTTAAAATAATTATTGAAATGCAAATGGCACAAATTTATAGATATTCAACTTGACATATTTAATAAAATTACCGAAAATATATTTAAATAAATTAATATTAAACAAAAATATAATTAATAACATTAATAGAAAAATTAAAATTTTCTAAAATAAAACAAAAATGTACCCGCCCTTTCAAAAGTCGCTCAGAATCTAGTAAATATTCTTAAAAAAATAGAACATAGACAAAATGTTAAAATATAAATTCTACCATGTTTAAAACATAGCACATAGGTAAGTACTCGCTATTTTATTTATGATATATGGAAGAGTATAAGGTAAAATACAAATTAACGTTTTGTAGATTTTTCTAAAATGAAATGAAAAACTTAAAATATATATTGTATTTTATAAATAACAAAGTGTGTTAGTTAGAAATGAAATAGGTATGTTCTATATTTAGATAGATCATAGAGAAGAGCTTACAATACAAATTCTAATATTTATAAAACATAGAAAATAAGTTAGAACATGTATTTTAGTCTTGTAAAAAGAGTTATAATATACAATCTAAAAAATCTAGATCAATATATGCAAATTGTTGTTGGAATTGAATTTTTTTACATCAAACATGTAAGATATAATTATAATGGTATTGATTTTTCATATTTTTCATATTTTCTTATTTCTATATAGATTTTAATAATTATATCCGTTATTATGAGGGAAACTATGTCCAAAATTAATCAAATAATGCAAAGGTATAGAAAGACAAAAACACTTTTATTATGGTCTTTTTTCCTAATTTTCTCTTAATTTTTCCACAAAAATTATAGAAACAGTTTTATAAATGGTATTTATGTTGACTTTATGAAAGAAAGTATGGTAATAAATTTATCAAAATCTCTTCAAAGATCTATTAATTAAATTGAAATAGTAAAATCATAATTTTTAATGATATTCTATGTGTCAAATATGCACTAATTCATTGTTCTTAAACAAGTAAATACTTTTATGGTATTAAATTTTTTTTTTACTATAAATTCATTGGATTTAGAAGAAACATTTCAACAGTTTATCAAAACATTTTCTTAGATAAAACGAGAAAACCTCTTAGTATTACAAAACATAAAAAAAATAAATAAAAATTGAGTAGTTCTCGGATTACTCCTTTGGAGAAGAAAGACAGAAAAAATGCTTTTGTTTGTTCATGTGTTTCCTTCTTTGTGGGTTTATTGACAGCAATGATGATCTTCAAGTATCTTTGAAACCATCTATGGGAGAGATGGTTTCTCAGTACTGACTTCGTTTAGGTTTGGGACGAATCAATTTTTTAATTTTTTTTTTTAAAGAAAAATTGGATTGTGATTTCTTCACTGTCCTTTGTGGTGTATAGGAAGAGGGAGAAAGAGGGAAGAGAATTTCGTATTGGTTCCGTTACTTGATATAGTATAGCAGATGGAGGAACGTGAACTCTCTTTGGTACCTGAATGGTTGAGAAGTGCAGCAAATGGTTCTGGTGTTGGAAATAAAAATCATAATCAGTCATCTTCTGCTGGATCAGGTATGCTTCAGATTTGCATGCCTTTATATTCGTTTTAAACCGTTTTTTGAACAGCATCGTAACTATTTATCATTTCCTTTTTCCTTTTCGTTTAGATTCTTCTTTGTCACATAGCATGAGTAGGAACCCTAGGACCAAAACCGATGTTAATTCAGTTCGGTCTCCTTTTCGCTATCGGTCTTCTTCCACCAATGGATGGAGGAGGTTTAGTACTGGGTCTACCCAAAATGCATATAGGAATTTCTATGTTCAAGGGAGGGGGAGAGGTAAAGATTGGAGAAAGGAAAAAGATAGGCTGACCTACATAGACCCATGGGACGATGAAGAAAGGAATCAAGAGCAGTTAAGACGGTCAAATTCAATGAAAACAAGGACACAAGACGACCACTTGGGTCAAGGGTTTACAATGGGATTCATTAAAAATGGAAGAAGCATTTACAACAGAAATCGTATGCCTCCTGGAACTAGTCATGCAACGAGCTCCAGGGATTTTCCTTGTCTAATTAAAACCGAAGAGAGGAATGAAGGAGGCCCAGAAGTTGTAAGAATCTCATCTCCCGGTCTAAATCTTGCTGTTCAGAAATTGTCTGTTGGTGACTCAGGCTTGACTACTTGTGGGGAAGGTTGGTCACCGGCTCCAGAAAATGTTCCCAATGTTATTGAGAAGGGTGGTTCTAACTTAACGGGACAGAACCCAAAAATGGCTGAAGCGTTGTTGCTGGCTACTAGAACTGGTACACTTCCTCAGGTATGATTTTTATATTTTTGTTGCTTTTTAGCACACTTGCCTTTTTCTGTTTGTGTCTAAGATGTTATTTCTACTTGGGATCTTCGAAGATACAAAAACATGATGACCGAGCTCTTAAGCAATCGAGGCAGCTAATACCGGTTGTGCCTTCTTCTGATAAATCCAAGACCAAACCAATGGTTCGAAGTGGTGCAATTGATCTTTCATCTTTTAGAAATACCCACAAGCATTCCTTCGTGCTGTTAGGTAATCTTCATTCTAATTATGGTAGTCAGATCAAGCCTGATACTACTAAGAAGCTGGTAATTCTCAAACCTGCGGTCAAAGAATCTGGAAGTCCAAGTCGTATAACCAACAGCCTGGCTGCTGGTTTACAGATGATCACTGCTCCATCTGCGCCATTCATTACTTCTGTGACTCGAACTCAGAGCAGGAATGCATTTTACAGTGCTTTGAAGAAGAAGAAGAAGACATCTACAAACATCTCAACTAGCTCTTGCATCTTCTCTTCTGTCGAGGAAAAAGCAGATATCTCTAAGGAGCTGGTAGCTAATGACCCTTCTAGTGTGCAGGCTGCAGAAAGAAATGGCATCGTCATGGAAAGGGTCGAGAGAGTTTCTGAAGCTGGAGAGAGGGATAGTTGTTTTGAATTGGCAGACCTTCCAGATGAAAAAGAGGCTGAGTTCCTTAGGTCCCTTGGGTGGGACGAAAATAATTCTGAGGTCGAAGCCCTTACAGACGAGGAGATCAGCGCTTTCTATAAACAGGTATATGGACATAACAACACTCTTACCTCGGTTGCTTTGATTCTCATTCTTTTTTTCTTTGTAACTCATTTGACTTTACATATACAGCACAAGGAGTTGAAGCCATCACTGATGTCAAAGCTGCCTATCAGTAAAGAGGCAACTGAGAACGCAACTCCCAACTCGTGATCCGAATTTGAAGATAGTTCTCTCTTTTCTCTTTTCTTATTTTTTTTCTTTTTAGTTTGAAGTGGGGGAGGCTTCAGTTGCATTATGAGTGTTGTTCTACTTCTTCAGAAAAGAAACAAAATTGAGTATATCTACATCTTCTGGTCTGAAGATAGAGAGTGGTTTTGTTTTGAAAGCTTCCTTAAATTTCTAGTTTGATGACAATGATGATGAGGGAAAGAGAAATAAAAACTTGCTGTTGGTATGAATGAAAAACTGATAATAATTTCCGTTTCTTTCTTAAAAGTAAGTTTTCTATCTTTTGCACATTTTCTTCTTTTTTTTTTTTTTTTTTTTTTGGACAAATTGCACATTTTCTTCTTAAGTGGCCATTTTACCACAGCTCAATACCCTCGAACCCTAAACGCTTAAGTTTTAACATCATTTGCTTTAGCGAACGGGAAGCAAATGTAATTTATGTTGTTCGCTTGGTAATTTTTGGTATTTGTGTTTGAACGTTGAATCTATCTTAAATATTAATAAATCATGAGAAATTTTCGAGGTCTCTTAGGTTTCTTAAATTATTTAAAGCAGGTGCCATCCATTAACGATATTGCTTTCATTTACTAAAAACGTTGGTATTTATTATTTTAAAATGTGATTTTGCAAATAATAAACCTTGCAAATCAAACCCTAAAAGTACATATTATTATCAAGCCACACTTACACCAATTCCTATATCTTTCTTATCATGATATGCTATAATTAAAACCTATATTTGCAAATCAAATGACAAACCCTAACCTTCCTAATCCCTAATAGTTAACTTTCAAAACAGACCTCAAAACCTAAAATAAAATAGCCAACTATTATATAGTTTACTGCACTTGCACATTTCCATATATATGTTGGAATACTATTAAAAATATTGCAGTATGCCTAGAATATTAGAATTTATATAAGGAGTGAAAATTACTAAGAAGTGGAATGATACAAAAGCTTACAATGAAATAAATGTTTCATAATAATGATGTTTATTTGTACTGATTTTATAAATGTAAAATAAAATTCCAATATCATATAAAAATACATAGTTGGGTTAATACACGTTAATATATTAAATTTTTAATTTAAACGTAAAAGATCAAACGTTGAAATCTAAATGTTATCCCACACATTAAATCTAAGTAGAAAGATATGAACATAATGTTTTAATGGAAATTTACTGTGTGCGGATCAAATCTAGTATATTATTGTTTAAAATCTTTTTATGTGTTAAAATCTAGTATATTATTGTACATAATTTTCACTAATACTTAGTATTTTTATTTGTTTATAATAAAATTTTAATTATCTTTTAATTTAATCTTTATTTTTTATTTTTTTCCAAAACCCCATAAATAATATCAAAAGATTGATAAAATATCAGATATATAGATTTATCTATATAATGAATTTAATAAAATCTCTTTTAGGAACAAAACCATTGTTGATTCGGTTGGTCTCTTTTATTTTCTTGATCGGTCTTCTTCCGCCAATGCATGGAAGAAGTTCCGTAATGGGTCTACCAAAATTCATAGATATTTTAGTATTCAAAGGAGTTACAAAGCTATTTGAAAAGGATCTGATTTTTGAAACATAGGTCCATTACTACTCTTTTTTGAAAGTGGGAATTCCACTTTTGAGTTAGAGTTCATTCTTTACTGTCTCAAAATACGTATTTCTTGTAGCTTGAGAAGTAAAATGATCAAAAAGAAGTTTATGGCTTCTTATTTGAGTCAAAGAAAATGAATTAGTTAATTTTGTTTTAATTCATGCTTAGTTCCGGAAGGATCATATAACTTTTTCTTCCTGAATTAAAAGATAATCTAATGTATTGAGTCGATTCTTGTACTGAAAAGACCTGACCGCAACACTCAATCTAAGAAATTTATAATAATAATTATGAAGCTATGCGATTAAAAACTGACACAAAACTATGATGAAATTGTACAAGCGTCGTCGCCTCTTCTGCCATTAGGTCACTAACTTCCTTAACCTTATGTTTATTAATAACATAATGGATTTGCCTGATTTATCCAGCATGACAGTAAGCACGAAATGGCAGAAAAGATGAATTTTCTTCTTTGTGTGGGTCTTATTCAATGGGAACTTGATGAGTTATTCCACCTACGTCATATTAAACAATGTTCTTTGTTTCATTCAGTTCAATCTCACAATCAATATTCATTTTACATTAATTTTGAAAAAGTAAATAGTTTGGCATCTTGATGTCGGCTCTTTGCCACCTTTACAATCTATCTATCAAGTTTAAGAAAATTCTCGTTCTCTTTTGGGAAAAATATATTAATGGCTTCGTTCTAGGATTATTCTTCATCTTAATGAGTACTGGTTTATGTACCTACTCAAAGAAATTTATGTGAAGGTTTAAACCACTAACACAAAAAGGATTTACAGTCATCCATGAATTTTTTTGTTTCACTACCTTGGAGAAATTTTCACATGTTATCCTCTGAGTTCTTTTGCTGAATTGTGATGTTTTGCTTGCCCCATTCTTTGTTATGTATTGTTAAGTAGTCATGGTGGGCTTCTTTCCTTGTTTTGCTTGAGAGATAGTTATTATCTGTAGTGGATTAACTGAGCTTGGCAAAACTCTTTTAAAAAAGAATGTTGGTTTTCCATTTGAGAAGACCCATGGAGCGTAGAAGAGAAGATATTCGGAAGATGGTCAGATACAAAGTGACAAGCAATTGGGCTAGATGGGCATGCGGTCATAGGTAAAGCTGGCATAAGAGTATGGAGTTACTGAGCTTGCGCCCCTCTCTTGCAAGAGGGTTCATGGCCGGAAGCATCAGCTTTTCTAGATTCCTTTTAGGATTGGCTCCTCCGAGCCATAAGATCTGGCTTTTGTAATGGATTGTTTTGAGCTATTAAAGATGTTGTCTTCACCGTAATAGTGACCTTTCTCAATATATTTAGAAGAATGTAATGATACTAAAAGCCTTGATTGGTATAGCTGATGATAAAGTAATAATAATATACTCTGATAATATACTTATTAATAATAATTGGTAGATGAGTATATGATTTATATATAAAATTATCATATCAAATAATCACTTATCTATATAACTTAAAAATTCTTCTAGTGGAAAGGCACCTCAAGATGAACATATGAAGAAAAGGTAAACAAGTCAACTCCTTTATGATCATTGGCGTGATAATTTTTATCAGAGACAAAGCAAGATATTGCTTTCATCCAAGGATTTCAACCTGGTTACGGTGGATCCAAATAACACGAACGGAGGACTATCTCTTTACTACAACAAGGAGTATCAGGTTGAGATTTTATATTTCAGTAGCCAGTGATAGATGTTGAAGCGGAGATCTTGGGGGGGAAAAGAGTCTTCTTAACTTTTTTAATGGCGATCCAATTCAAAAATTATGAGATTAAGTATGAGAAAGGCTAACAAGATATAGTTTAGTAAGGTCAGCCACGTGGTCTCTCATTGGAGATCTAAATGAAATTACTGGCAATGATGAAAACAAGGAGACCCATTAAGATATGCATGATCTTTTCTAGATTTTAATAATATGATAAGAAATTGTAGATTTTCTGAATTCCCAGCTCGGGGGAATCAAATGTCCTGACAAGGGAGACGCAGAAAATAATTGATCAGGTGTCGAGTAAACCGAGCCTTAGCAAATGAAGACTAGCACTCGCTATTCCCATGTTCTTATATAGAATATTTAGGAATGGTTGGTTCTAATCATAGACTAGTGGTGGTTTATCTAGAGGATAAGGTTTCAAACGGAGGGGCCAGTTTCAATTTGATAAAAGATTAATTGGACATGATGGGCTGCTAGTATCCACGGGAGGGGCTGGGTTGAATCAGGAGAAGGCAATATGAGAGATTTTGTGACGAAACTTATCAACTATCGTCATGAAATTGAGGATGGAGGAAGAAAAATCCACCATATGGAAAGGAGAAGATCATAGAGCTCCAACAAGTTCGTGAAGAAGTCCAATCAGATGATAGTAGGACTCAAGAGAAAATAGTGGAAATCTCTAGAAAATTATAGGATGCTTACAAGGACGAGAAAAATTACTGGCAACATCGGGATCGGAACAAGATTGTAAATTTTTCACGATGGAGATGGATATTGGATTACAGAGGAAAAGGAGTAAAAAAGTAGCAATAGATTATTTTGATGATTGATTTACTACCACATCTCTCTCTCAGTTTGATGGTTTTCTAGAGGAGATTCAAGTGACCATCACTCCTTAGATAAATCAAAGGTTGATCATGATGGCGACATAATAGGAATTAAGACAAACAATGTTTATTATGCATCTAGAAAAAACCCAATGTACCAGATGGAATAACAACACTTTTTTCAACATTCTTGAAATACCATATGTAAGGTGTATGAAATTATGGTAAAAAATATTAAAATGTGTTGAAAGATATATTAATTAAATCTGTACTCAGAGATAAGAATTTTAAATATAAAAATGCAAATTATGTATATTGTGGAGAAAATAGTTACATAAAAAGTATCATTATGCTTGGATCTCACATGCAATGGCTCGGCTGGATCTCCATCAAATGTTACATATATACTTATGGCTAGATTTCATCAGACGATTAAGGAGGTAAAGTTAAATGTAACTGATATAAATGTATAATTGTCAGAATAAAATGTTGAAAACAATATATTAAATAAATTGTAATAGTATAAATAAATATTATATGGATTAGCTGGCCAGGCGTTAATATGGAAATTATATTATGGTAATAAATCTCCGTATAACTATGAATATATTGAGAAAAAATATTTCAACAGTTTCTCAAAACAATTTCTTAAAGAAAAAAAAAAAAGAGAAACCTTAGTATTCCAAAATATATATATAAAAATAAATCGAGTAGTTCTCTTCCTAGAGAAGAGAAAGAGAAAGAGAGAGGCTGCTGTTTGTTCATGCGTTTCCTTCTTCCAAGTATTCCCAAAACACACACACAGAAGCAAAAAGAACATTCCGCCTCTTCGTCTACCAGTCTCCGCTACCCATCGCAAAAACCCTAATTTCCCCTCTACAAACCCTAATTGCATCATCATCCTCCCCTCCAATCCCGTTTCTCTCTCGAATCCGTTTTTTTTTCTTGTTTTATCCTTCTTTCGTTGGTTTCTCCCTCTCCTTGGAGAGGAAGCCATTGTTTCCTTTCGAGCGATTTCATCTAAACAAATCCGTGGTCTTGCGTTTCGACGTGTAATCTCCGTCTGGGTTTTGGTTTCGGTTTGGGTGTGTTCGTCCGCCTCTTTTGTTCGCACCCATCGTGTCAATTTCGTGGCTGTGTTGAATTCTAGGGATTAACATCATAGTTGTTAGGGTTTTCTGATTTGTGCCTATCACTGTAGTCTCTTATTACTGGGTTTATTGATAGTGATGATGATGATGATCTTCTAGTATCATTGAAACCATCTGTGGGAGAGAATTTCTTCCCTGCCCTTTGTGGTGTTTAGAGATATTCAAAAGGGGTGAGAATTGCAAATTGGTTCCTTTACTTGATGGAGGAGAAACGTGAACCCACTTTATCACCTGAGTGGTATAGAAGTACAGGGAATGGTTCTAGTGCTGGGAGTATTCTGTCATCATCTGCTCGCTCAGGTATACTCCACTTCATAACTTCGTAATGTTTGATTATATTCGTTTTGAAACCATTTGAGTTTAGTTATTGAATGGGAATGTGACTCTATATCTTTTCCTTTTTCGTTTTGTGTTTTAGATTCTTCTTTGTCACATAATAGCAAGAGTAGGAACCCTAGGACCAAAACCGATGTTGATTCAGTTCGGTCTTCCTCCACCAATGCACGGAGGGGGTTTAGTAATGGGTCTACCAAAAATGCATATAGTAATTTCAATGTTCAAAGGAGCCATAATAAAGATCGGAGCAGGGAGAAGGATAGGCTGAACTACACAGACCCATGGGACTTTGACGTTACTTTCCCTTCCGGTAACTTCCTAAATGGAAGGAATCAAGAGCAGTTAAGACGATCAAATTCAATGACGACAAGGAAACAGGACGACCACTTGGGTCAAGGGTTTACAATGGGATTCAAAAATGGTAGAAGCATTCTCAACAGTAATGGTATACTTTCTCGAACTAGTCCTACAAAGAGCTCTGGATTCGGTAAGGATTTTCCTTCTCTGAAAACGGAAGAGAGGAATGGAGGAGGCCCAGACGTTGTAAGAATCTCGTCTCCTGGTCTAAGGCCTGCTGTTCAGAACTTGTCTCTTGGTAACAATGGCTTGACTGTTGGGGAAGGTTGGACATCGGCTCTGGCAGAGGTTCCCAGTGATGTTATTGAGAAGAGTGGTTCTGACTCAGTTGCTAATGTTGCTACTTCGGTTACCTTAACGGGACAGACTCGTAACATGGCTGAAGCATTGTTGCAGCCTCCTAGAACTGGTACACCACCCCAGGTATGATTTGCATCTTTGTGTTGCTTTATAGTACACTTGCCTTTTTCTTTTTGTATAAGATGTTTTTTTTTTATCAGGGATCTTCAGAGACACAAAGACTTGAGGACAGAGCTCTTAAGCAATCGAGGCAGCTAATACCGGTTGTGCCTTCTTCTGATAAATCCAAGACCAAACCGATGGTTCGAAGCGGTGAAATTGGTCTTACTTCTTTTAGAAATACCCACCAGCATCCCTCTATGCTGCTAGGTAATCTTCACTCTAATTCTGGTAGTCAGATCAAGCCTGATACTGCTAAGAAGCTGGTGGTTCTCAAACCTGCCGTCAAAGAATCTGGAAGTCCACGTCGTATAAACAACAGCCTGGCTGCTGCTGGCCAGATGATCGCTGCTCCATCTGCACCATCCACTACTTCTGCGCAAAGTACAAACAAACCAAGGGAGCCCAAGGGAGCCTCGGTTAACATGCCAGCAGAAAAGAAACTTTCGGTGCAGAGCAGGCATGCATTTTTCAGTGCTTTGAAAAAGAATACATCTACAAACATCTCAACTGTCAAGGAAAAAGCAGACATCTCTAAGGAGCTTGTAGCTAGTGACCCTTCAAGTGTACAGGCTGTAGAAAAAGATGACATAGTCATGGAAAGGGTCGAGAAAGTTTCTGAAGCTGCGGAGAGGGTTAGCGTTTTTGAATCGACTGACCTTCCAGATGAAAAAGAAGCTGAGTTCCTTAAATCCCTTGGGTGGGACGAAAACAATACTGAGGTAGAAGCCCTTACAGATGAGGAGATCAGAGCTTTCTATGAACAGGTATATGAACTTATAACAACACTTTTACCTCGGTTGCTTTGATTTTCATTCTCTTTTCTTTTGTTTTTAACTCATTTGACTTTACATACAGCACAAGGAGGTGAAGCCATCACTGATGCAAAAGCTGCCTATCATTAAAGAGGCAACTGAGAACGCAACCCCCAATTCGTGATCCGATTTTGAAGATAGTTTTCACATTTCTCTTTTTCTTTAAACTTTTTTTCGTTTTTTAGTTTTATTACTGTGGTGGTGTGGACAAGAAGGTCGGGGAGGCTTCAGTTGCACTATGAGTGTTCTACTTCAGAGAAGCTATCTGTTGGTCTGAAGATAGAGAGAGGTTTTGTTATGCTATAGCTTCCTTAGGTTTCTAAAGTTCGATATGATGAGAGGGAAAGAGAAAACTTTGTTGGTGGTATAAAGAAAATTTAAAGGCTTTCGGTTTCTTTTAAAAAAAATATGAATTTCATGTTTTGCCTTATTTCTTAATTTGGGTTAGTTATTTTCTCTTCTTTCCTCCCACCTCAATATTCTAACACTGTAATTTGTTTTTTTTGGGTCAATCTTTATATTGATTGAAGCCCAATTGGGCAAAATACAAGAGTTGTCGGTTTTAAATTACTAATCTAAAGCCCAACAAGGGACCGACTAGAATGTGTACGGCTGTGGACGTAGACAGGAGACACATGTTTCTACAGGCATGTGCTTCTTCTCCGATCTCTGAAGTCTTGCTCGTTCATCTCCTTTACAAGCTTCTTCCGCAACGAAGAATTTATCTTCACTATGAAGAGCTTTGATTCTTCAGAGCTTTGATAACAACTTCTTTAGCCACTTCTCTGATTTCACCACCTTCTTTCTTCTTCAATCTTCACAATAGGACCTGATCGTCTTAGCATTTCTACAAAGCTCATTATAACCGACTATTCTTGCCGCTTGTTCCTATCATGAGACATCAAAGGAACTTTGGGCACTCTCTCTTGACTGTTATTTGAAATTTTCGTAACCTCAGTAGGATATTTGAAGTTAGGAGAGCCTTGAACAGTCCTCACACGATGAGTGCTTCTTTGGATAGTTCAGACGTCAATGGGCAGAAATGAAGCTGCTTAGACCACCTACTACTGATGTGAAGGAGCTGAACGAAAGGCGTGGGCAAGATCAAGTCTTTGGTCTGCTTTTTCCACTCAACAGAGATCATTCAAAGGATTTGAATATGTATATTATGTGTTAGTGCGTGAAGTACTACATGACGTAGTATATGTGTATGTCATGAAGATGGGGTAAGTTGGAGTTCGTGTTTTATGATGTACGTCGGCTTGTTAAGCTTGGAGAAGAGATAATATATTTACTAGAATATTTACATTAAGTGTAAATGATATTACTTGAAGAGGAAAAGGCAAGAGAGTTATTCTTTAAGAAAAAAAAGAAAATTGTTTAAGTTGCTTTTGAAAGAACTTGAGGAGCAAGTTCTAGGTATCTATACAAGGAGAACGTGCCCTCCATGGAGAAAGGTGTCTCTGCTAATAAGAAGAAAAGCCGAGAGATCGTTTTGGTGTTGCTTGTGTGATCAAGCCTTTGGTGTCATTGGTGTGCGTTAGTTGCTGACATAGTTGTTTACGTACTTCCGGAGTTCTGGAAGATTGAAGCCTAGACTCAAGGGGAGTTTAACTCGGGGTTTGAAGGATCCTGATAAACAAAAGTCTAGACTCTAGGATGAGTTTTAGCTTTGGATTGGTCTAATCCTAAAGGATTCTTAGAATAGAAAATATTGGTGTAAGACTTTCTTGTTCTAGTGAATTCGAAAAGAGAAAAGTTGCGTCTTTTACTTTCTGCTATTTATTTCCTGGTCTCACTACATCAACAATTGGTATCAGAGCGGGTCACCTAACTTACTGGTGAGATCTTGAAAGGTGAGGACAGAAACAGGTTCACGAAGAAGGACAGAGTTTGTGATGGCATCATATCAAGAGGGAACGTCTATGACAAAACCCCCACGTCTTGATTCATCCAATTATGGATATTGGAAGTTACGGATGCAAGCTTTTATCAGTGGTATAGATGAAGACTGTTAGAGTTCTATTGAGGATGGTTGGAGTCATCCAATGATGCTTAATGATGAGAAGGTTGAAGTTTTGAAGCCAAGAGATCAGTGGACTGCTGCAGAGAAGAAGGCTTCAAATTGCAACTCTAAGGCTAAGACTGCGATTTACAATGCTATTGATGCAAGCTATTTTAAGTTGATTTCTCGAGTGGAAGAAATTGGAGAATATGTTTGAAGGTACTACAAGTGTCAAGCGTACCAAGCTGGACATGTTAGCATCAAAGTTTGAGAATCTGAGGATGGATAAAGAGGAAACCGTGGCTCAGTTTAGTGCTAAGTTGTGTGACATTTCGAATGAATGTTTTGCACTTGGAAAGTAGTACAAGGACAAGAAGCTGGTGAAGAAGCTGAAGAGGTCACTGCCGTTGAAGTTTGAGTCAAATATTTCTACTGTTAAAGAAGCTCATAATCTGGATGAGATGGGGATTGATGAGTTTGTTGGCATTCTTCATGCTTTTGAGTTGAGCAAGGCATATGGAGATCAAGTAAGAGTAAGGATAAGGATAAGAAGAAAGAAGATCCTTATGGGATTTCTTTAAAGGGTTCATCTTCAGAAATTCCTATGGCGATGATTACGAGGCAGTTTGCTAACTACCTGAAGAAACAGCAAGGCAAGATGAAGAGTAGAAGAGATGACTCAGGAGGTTCATCAAAGATACAATGCCATGAGTGCAAAGGTTTTATGCATGTTCGCAAGCAATGTGCGAATTTACTGAAGGTAAAGAAGAAGGATGAATCTGATACTGATTCAGATGCTGGTGAGGAGTTGAAGAAGTTGGTGGCGTTCAGAACTTTTATGTCTGGTTCTAAGACAAAATCTGCGACATCGTCTGTGTCAGAGTCCTTATGTAGAGAGGATGATGATGCTGGAAGTGATGATGATGATGAAGACTTTGATCTTGCTGCAAATTATGAAAAGCTGTATGAGCTTTGGCTCAAGATGGTTGAGGCGGATTCAGAGTTGACTAAAGAGAAAGTCAAGCTAGAAACTCAAGTGGCTGAAGCACTTAAGTATGTCTCAGAGAAAGAAGAAGAAGCACGACAGGCTGGTGCTCAACTTTCAGAGACTCAGCAGGGTTTGAAGATGCTGAATAATGGGACGTATCAGTTGGATCATCTTCTCAGCATTGGGCAAAGTGATCGATGTGGTCTTGGATTCAAAGGTGAATCTTCTAAAGCTGAAGGTGTTTTTGTAACAGCAAGAAAAACTGAAGGTGTAGCTACGTCTGCTACAAAGTCAGAGGTTAAGGTGTGTGTTGGGAATGCAACAAATGGGAAGACTGCAGTGAAGGCTGTAACTTATGTGAAGAAGGCGACTGCTACGAGTACTGCTATGCGTACTGCTACGCGTACTGCTACAACAACTACTTCGGGTAATGTTTCTAGTCCTAAGAAGGTATATGAACGAAATTTCGGCATGTTTGTCATCATTGTGGTGTTGTTGGGCACATTAGGCCAAGGTGTCTTAAGTTATTGAGGGAGAAAAACCAAATGGAGCAAGGTTATGGTATGAGGTGTCATGGTCCTATATGTTTTCATTGTGGAGTTCAAGAGCATATTCGAGGTGATTGTTATTTGTCTATTCATGGAGCTAATCATGGGGGATTTGGGTTCAGGAACACATGGTGTAGGAGATTTGATCATTATGGAGATGGTGGTTTGGGATGGTATCCTCACTTTGGAGGATATTCATCTTCTTATTAGTTTTTGACCATGATGTGACTCATAGGGGGAGATTGAAGACGTGGTTTCCAGAGGTAATGAGTTCACATACATAGTCAAAAAGGGAGAGATTGAAGATGTATATTCTGTGTTAGTGCGTGAAGTACTACATGAGGTAGTACATGTGTGTGTCATGAAGATGGGCTAAGTTGGAGTTCGTGTTTTATAATGTCCGTGGGCTTGTTAAGCTTGGAGAAGAGATAATATATTTACTGGAATATTTATATTAAGTGTAAATGATATTACTTGAATAGGAAAAGGCAAGAGCGTTATTCGTTAAGAGAAAAAGGAAATTTGCTTAAGTTGCTTTTGGAAGAACTTGAGGAGCAAGTTCTAGGTATCTATATAAGGAGGACGTGCCTCCATGGAGAAATGTGTCTCTGCTAATAAGAAGAAAAGTCGAGTGATCCTTTTGGTGTTGGTGTCATTGGTGTGCGTTAGTTGCTGACGTAGTTGTTTACGTACTTCCGGAGTTCTGAAGATTGAAGCCTAGACTCAGGGGGAGTTTAGTTCGGGGTTTGGAGGATCCTGATAAACAAAAGTCTAGACTCTAGGGTGAGTTTTGGCTTAGGATTGGTCTAATCCTAAAGGATTCTTGTAATATAAAAGATTGTTGTAAGACTTTCTTGTTCTAGTGAATTCGAAAAGAGAAAACTTGTGTCTTTTACTTTCTACTATTTATTTTCTGGCCTCACTACATCAACAGGATTGTGGAGCTGTTCGTTTCTCCATCCAAATGAGTTATCTGAATGGAAATGAGAGTTTTGTTCGTTTAGACATTAAAAGTACAAACTATCTGGATGGCTAATCTGAATGACTTTCGAAATTGTTAATTTTAAAGTCCATTTGGATGGACCATTTGAATGGAAATAATTTTGTCAAAATGATAGAAAGCCTATTATACCCTTTATATAAATTACAAATCACAAACATAAATCTAATATCATGTTGTAACCAAAAAAATGAGAAAATAACATTTCTCACCGAAATCGAAAATTTTTATTCATCCCAAAACCAAAAAACGCTTTTTCCCGCAAAATTTGAAAAAACGATTTTCCCGCAAAACCGAAAAACGTGTTTTTCTGTCAAAATCGAAAAACACGTTTTCCGCCAAAACCGAAAACACGTTTTTCTCACCAAAATCCAAAAACACTTTTTTCCGTCAAAACCAAAAGTTGCGTTTTCTCGCAAAAACCAAAAAACGTGTTTTTCCGCAAAAACCGAAAACATGCTTTTTCGAAAAAAACCGAAAACACATTTTTTCCCACCAAAACTGGAAAATACTTTTTTTTCCGCCAAAACCAAACACGCGTTTTTCTACCAAAATCAAAAAACGTGTTTTTCCCGCAAAAAATCGAAAAATGCGTTGTTCCCAGCAAAACCAGAAAACACGTTTTTCTCGCCAAAACCAAAAACGCGTTTTTCCCGCCAAACCCGAAAAACGCGTTTTTCTCGCCAAAACCGGAAAACATGGTTTTTCCCACAAAAATCGAAAAACGTATTTTCCCGCCAAAACCAAAAACACGTTTTTCGGGCCAAATCCCAAAAACCAGAAAACCAGAAAACATGTTCCTTTTTTCGTTTTTCACCAAAACCAGAAAACATGTTTTTCCCGCCA